ACTTGCTAACAACTAAACTAAAACAAACTTACTACTTTTAGCCTATTAACTACTAATTAATTTGCTTACTAGCTAATCTAACAATACTTACTGATTATAATATACAAATTATAAATTGCTAAATTCAATACACTAACCACTATTAATAATTATAAACTACTAACTACTCAATTAATTAATATTAACTACTAACTTACCAATTTTACTAATTAACTCTATTAATATAATATATCTAATTTACTAATACTAAACTAGTTAACTAATATATTAATACTATTGCTAACCTAACTCTAACTATAATTTGAATAACATATTAGTTTAGTAAGTATACTTTTCAGTTAAAAGCAATAAATATTCAATTTACATATATATATATATCTTAATAATATATTACACTTAAAAAGAATAAGAAATTTGTTTTTTTTAATGCTATTTTTCACAACTAGCTTTATTATATTCAGATTTATAGTACTGCTAATATTCAGTTGATTTTTGCTTTTTAGTTTTCTGATGCTCTTTATTTTTTTGTTTTACTTCTTGTGATCTCTTAAACTATATTTTGTGTAGAGCACTTTTCTTGCATGAATAATAGAATTCTGAATTAATAATAGGTCTATATTCTTAGTATCTTGAGAATATAATTTATTATTATTATTAGAATTTGAATCAAAAGATTTATAATAGTCAGATTCATCAGAACTGCTTTGTATATTATAAGTTTTAGCTAATAATATTCTTCTAAGGTTTCTTTGAGATGATTCTTTTCTGAAGTTTTTTTGTAGTAATTTTTAATTACTCTTTGATATATATTTTATTATAAAGTCATTTATTAAACTGTTTAACTCTTGTATTGTTAATAATATTGCATCCAATCCTATTTGAATCACTTTTTTTAAAAATCTATTTGCTATTACATATTTTTTTTAATGATTTAAAGATTTATAAATACTTTTATAAGGAATATTAATAATATTATAAGGTATTTCTAAATAAGTTTCATTATATATAGTATTAGTAAATTTCTGAAAACTATCAATAAAAGTTTGTTAACAAAGAATTGAGGTAGGTTTATATTGTTTTTCATCTTTATACCATTATTTAGATATAAGTATTACATAAAATTTTGTATATTTTGAATTTTCTAATAGGTGAAAAAAATATTGGCATACAATACTATATCAGATAAGACTAAAACAAGTACAAAGGAGAGATTTATCATTAAAAAGAATAACATAATTTTTTTTATATATTAAAGATGAACAAGTTCCCAAATCTCAATAACATTATCAACTTTATTTATTAGTTTAAGTTCTTTTAAAAGTATTAATAAAACATTAATACTATCTTCTGCAAAATTAGTATTAGGTAATTCAATCTCATTCTCAATTTCAAAGGCATAATTCTTATCAACTTGTTGTAGTAAATATTAAATATCTTGTGATATTTCTTGTTATTGTATAGAGAGGGTAGCAGGAGTTAAATAGTTAATGATCCATTTATCAATAATAGGTAAAAAATCATGACTTGAATATATAAATGTTGAACTAGTAATAGAATGAGCTTAATTTTTATATTGTATTATAGTAGACATATAATTAAATTGTAATTCAATTTTTTGAAATAGGTCTAAAATAGATGTATAACTATTAATAGCACTTTTAATTATCACATTTTGCTCTTCTACTCTTTGTGTAGTTTGAATCCCTTCTGTAAAAATATATAAAGTATAAGCTAATACCTATCTATATTTTTGAGAGCCAAGTGCTCTATTAAGATATAATTCTAAGACAGAGTACTGTTTGATTAGAGAGTTTCAGAGATAGTTAAATTCTATTTGAAATAGAGTATTTCTCATTTTATACCAAGCTTTAATAAAGTTATTATATTTTGAATCTAATTTAAACTTTAAATTCTTTAATAAATTCTATTTAATATGATATATATAATGTATATGATAGGTATTAGACATTAAATTTGTAATAGCGGCATCAATAGTAAGGTCATTGTCTATTATAATAACTGAAAGAAAAGTGATTGTTCCTTTAATAGGAGAATTAAATACCTATTAAAAACTCTCTAATATTTCATCACTCATTAACATTTGGTCAACTAACTGAGACTAATTAAACCTATTAGTAGAGTAAGTATTATTATATTGAACTATATCACTATATTGTAGATAAAGTTCATATTGTTCTGGTATCATCCAGAATAATAAAACTAAAGAGTTAGTTGTTAGATCTATATGCTAATTTATAGTCTACCTAATATCCTCAACTTTATGTTCAATAAGCTTATTAATCAATATTGCAGCTTTATAATTTACTCTTTGTTCTATTTTAATCTTTTGAATAGTATTTGACAAGTCTTGAGATAAGAAAAAAATATTTTCATATTTCAATTCAAGTAATTGATGTTATGTAAGCATACTAAGATTCCCTTTTGTTATCCAGAATTTGATATCAGCTAATATTAGCTCAGTTAATATTCAGTATATAATGCCAAATTTATTAGTAAAGGGATCTAAAGAATAGTCTCTATGCTCTAAACTCATAGTAGTAATACTGATAATACCAGTTGACTTTAAGCATATAGAATTTATAAATTACAAGTATATACTACGTTTGGAATGTATGTTTCACTGTGTTTTAACAATTATATTTTTTTTTCTTTGATAAATACTCTGATATTTATATTTATAATAACGATGCCTTCTTATTCTATTATCATATTCTACTCTATAAATAATTTTAAAAAAGTATTTAGAGTTACAATAAATATCAATATATTTGTCAAGTTCTGTTCATGATTCAAATTGCATACTAGGCTTTGAGGTTTCATATGTATTAATAATATTATCAGAGTATTGAACAGATAGATTAATTAAATTATTTAGAGTTTCTTCAGATATATTAGAGAGGGTCTGTATTGGTAAAGAAGCAGTATTTATAGGCAATAATTCTAATTGTTTATTATAATAATCTAGTACTAGTAATAATTCTAATTATTTATTATAAAAATCTAGTACTAGTGAGTTCAAGCTTAAATTATCTAATTGTTTATTGTAACTAGGCAGAACTAGTGAATTCAGGATTAAATTATCATTGGTTATTATTAATGTTTGAATTGAACTATTATAATAATAGAATAAGTAAATTATTATTAATGTCAATATTTTAAATATTAATTCAATTCAATTACTTAAAATTCAAAACTAGTTTTGAATTTCAAGTAATTGAATAGGCCCACAACTATGCTTTATTTAATATTAACTTTGTGTTATATATATATTCATTTTGCATCATTAATACTTAATTAGAACAGTTGGAACTAATAATATAAATAGAGTAAGTAACTAATATTATATAATTGTGTAATGTTTATTGAATGAGATTTCTAATAACACACCTTGTTTTATATATTTTTAATAACTAGGATGACTAAAATACAATCTAATAATAATAAAAAACTGGAGTAGTAATCTAATAATCTTATTGCTGAATGTTTAATTAATAAACTTACTAATAACCTACCTTCTTTATATATATTTATAGCTAGAACAAATAAGATAGCTAATGAGATGACTAATGGGACAGCTAATAAAATGGCTAATAGGACTGCTAATAGGACTGCAAATGGAATGGCTAATGGGACTGCTAATAGGACTGCTAATGAGACTACTAATAGAACTAAAGTAAGTAAACTAATATTGTATAACTGTTTAATGTTTAATTAAAGAAACCTTTCTAATAACTAACTTTGTTTAATATATTTAACATCTACACACCAGAACAAAATACAATGTCTCTTGTAATTTCTCACTTTTGCATGCAAAAAAAAAATATAAGCATTTACCACACCAGTATAGTCAAGAAAAGAAACACTAATGTAGTATAACACTACTTCTGTCAACACAAATTTTCTCATTAAAAAAACAATTACTTCAAGGATCTTATTAAAGTAGGCGTTCACTTTACATTAGTTCTCTTTTCTAAAAGCTGTTATTTTTGATCTATTTTTTCTTTATATGCATATGTGCTATTATATCATACATTACACATACTATACTTTCTATACTCACATTTCGTACAACTTACTTACATTTTGTATAACCAACTATTATTTAGTACTACGGCTACATGTAGCCATAGGCTACAATTATATTATTTCATAAAATATTTAGTAAAATAAAATATAAAAAAATTTTCTATTAAGTTTATATGTAATTTGAAAATGGTATTCCCTACTCTTAATGGTATTAATCAAATATTAATTGGTTTATTATGTGACAAAATAATTAATATAAAATGTTTCTTTAATAATGAAATGATATGTATTAATAATCGAATTATAATAATCACGTGTGCGGACAATTCCCCTTCATGCTGTGTTTTTCAAAATAGTTCGATCCCAAAAAGAACCTTCATTAATTAAATTATTCTCCATCAACAATTTTCTTTGTTGAACGATAGTTTTTGTAAAAGAACTTTGTGATCTACCACATCCCTTTGGTGTCTTTAAGAAAAAATTTGCATTTACGCAAACTACTTTATCAAGTATTCCGTGTATACCAGATCCTCTAAAATCCCCTTCATATTTTGGATCATCTTTAATTTCTGATAAACTATTCAGCGAAATCCATGTACTGAAATTTATTTTATGTTTGGGACTATTGTTTGTTAAATTATTAGAATGATTATCATTTAATCCAAGTATTTCAATAGCTTCTTTATGAAATTTAGAAACTGTTTCGAATGTTTCTGATTGAGCATTATTGCCACTAAGTGGAAAATCTGTTGCCAAATAAACACCTTTTATTCTATATTTTTTTTGAATTTCTTTCACCTTTCTAACTAGTTTCTTGGCGCAATTTGGCATCATTTCTGGATCTCCCTGTTCCATTCTCCAATGAATAGCTATATATTGTGAAAGTTTCTCTCTGATTTTTTTAGATTGTTCAATAATATATTTTGAATAAGGAATTACCGCATTATTGACCGGAAACATTTCTCTACGACACCTGTTAAATATCATTATTACTTCATATTTTTTTGCCATCGGTGGAGTTTTTAGAGTGTTTACAATAAGTGGAAACGCTGCTTCACGATTTATTGGTGGGAACCCGGAATGAACTTCTAAGAAATTAGTAAAATTTAGGTTAAATTGATCTATGCAAAGAACTTTTTTTTTTCTTTCTGGAATTATAATTCCTTCGTTGACACCCATAGTCTCTTTTTCTTGAAGACATAAATTGGCAGTATAATTTCTACCATCTTCAATCATCAATGAATGTTGCGCAACTGGTCGAGTTTTTCTTTCTTTTGTCCATTCCAAAAATATATCTTGTGTTATGAATCGAACATCTGGATACTGCTCTTGTAATGCTTGTATATCAAAATAAAAGTCGAATCTATATGGTTTACACACTCTAATTCGCGAATTGCCAACATTTGGCAGGACCATCGTACGATTTGTAGCTCGTGCTAATTCTATGTACATGCGAACATGAAGGTTGGCACGAGTTTCTTGTTCCGGGTGAAAATATGGAAAAATGAAACTACAGGTTTTTTCTTGACAGTATTTCATATTGATATTTTCATCCTCCGTCGTTAATTTTTCTATAATATTATCTTCGACATTATCTTTAACAATGTCATTTTTAACGGAATTATCTTCAAAAATATTATATTCATCAATGTTATCTTCAATAATTTCATCCTCAATATTGTATTCATGAGCAATGTTACCTTTAATGATATCACCTTTAACGACGTCGATATTATTCTATAATTGAGACCATTAATTTTAATGTATAAATTAAATTATTTAAATTATTTATAATAAAAATATATTTATGAACAGCTTATGCTGAAATTTGGTTTTTCATTTAAATTTATAATAATTAACTACTAAACAATTCTAAATCTAAATCATAACTTAACCTTAAAGAAAAACCCCGCAAAAAAGGCCCGAAAAAAAATCCCAAAATTTTAGCTGTCATAATATTTTACCTTAGATTCTTCAAACTTTGAGGTAATGTTAACAAAGCTCCATATTAAGATAATTAATAAAGTTATAGATATGGTTTTTCTCGATTTAAATCTAAATTTCGCACTTAAATAATGTCCTTTAGCTTGTAAGTCATAAGGTTTTGATGGCATTTTTTATTGACAGTATGTTAAATACTTTTCTATGTTATTTTTATGCGATGATTATAATATTAAATAAATTTACAAATTATAATTTACAGAAGAAAAATATTAATATTTCATAGTTTTCTAGGCATGATATTTTGTTTTATTTCTTGTTATGGCTCAGTAATATAAATTTTATTTTTTATGACGTATAAACATTAGATTATACAGTAAATTATTTATAAACTTCAAAACAATATGACAATTAATTGGTAAGATAATAATACTCATCACATTGGCTTGGCTTTTTATTATTTAGATTAGTGATGCAGGTAGATCGTCCCAATTGCCGTAACTTTTGCCGTAACTTACTGAACTATCTCTGTAATATGTAATAATTATCATAAGTTACGGCGTGTTTGCCGTAACTTATGATAATTATTACATATTACAGAGATAGTTACAGTAAGTTACGGCAAAAGTTACCTGCATCACTAATTTAGATCAGATCGCATTCATTCAAGATCTGTTAGTACGAAGACAAATATGTAATTATAATAAAAAAAAAAACCTTATAAGTTTAGATCCAATTATTTAGTCACTTTGGTAACACAGTGCTTCAGTTCATTGCTATTGTGAGACGTGAAAGTAACTTCAGAGACACGTGAGGGTCGGAGGCTAATGTGCCACAGTATCTGCATACGGTGAGAAGGTGTGAACCGGTTCTGGTACGGAACTCGTCCGGAGGTTCTGGTCACACCTAGGTTCATGGTTCAATAAAATCAACAAACACTACAAATCCAACAATCAACCCTAAGTTGGAAGGCTGAAAGAGGTCGTGGAGGATTTGGTCCGGGTTTTAGGCTTGCAAGGTGGATTTCTGGGTTATGAAAGTAGGTATTTTCAGGTTCTTGACTGTTGGTCCTGGTTGTTTCCGTTGGGAATATTCGGTTCCTTATCCTTTTCTTAAATATGATTCGGGTCACGTGATCTGGTCTTCTTTTACGATTGGTTATTGATTCAACAATGGGTATAATCAGGATAATTGATTATTGTTTAAATTGATTGGGAACTTGATTATCACGGGGGGTTTAACAATGAATACGTATTTTTTTAACAAATGGGGAAACAAGGTCACAATACTTCTACTCGAATTTCGAAGTATTTGACTTATAAACAACTAACTTATCAAAGTTAGGGATTCAAAAGTTATTCTTTCCAAAGTTGAACTTATAAAAGTTAATTTTTTATTGAGGGAAATTCGAGTCCCTTATATACATGTTTTCAATTAATACAGGATGACAGAAATAACGAAAAAAACTAAGAAAGAGAAAGATCCGAGAAATCTGGGGGATCAGAGAAATCCTGGCTAGGATTTCTAATATTCGGTGGATTCGACAAATCCTATAAATCTCGGTCAGGATAATTAGAATATTTGGGATCCGGGTGATCCAAAATTAAGAAACAGGAAATATCTTGTAAAACCCTGAGAATCTTCAAACTAAGAATAGGACATCGTACTACGTCGGAACGCAGTATTTCCGGAGGGCCAAATTAGACCTTTACACCGTGTCTTAACGACATGACAGGTTTTAAGGGTGTTTAACCGGAATAATGAAGTGAAACCTTCGTTAAAATTCTTTCTCTTTCTTTTGTTCTTTTTTTGTGTATCCAAGAAATGTATAAAATGAATGTAAGTTCTAAAAAAAAATTATTATTATTATTATTATTATTGAATAATCGAATAATCAAAAAAAAAAGTTCAGATTAAATAAACGAAACACATGAGCTTAACATTTTACCGCCTTAACCGTGCCAAATCAAATTCCGCCTATCTTTAAGTAGTGTCACTAGGGATGGTAAAAAATCGCTTTTTGATGATTTTTATGTTTTTTTAACCTGATTTAATAAAATGGTTTAAAACATTGTTGATTATGACGCTGATGGCTGAAACCGCACCTGATTGGATAATTTTAATTTCAGTATTGCCGTGATATTTAAATAATATTATGATATCAGATATAATGAAATGATGTTCATTGCTTTAAATCATCGTCATTAATAACGATAACCGGGTAAATTTTATTTCAGATCATGTGATGTGATTTTAATATAATATTGATTTAAAACATTGTGTTTTAAATCATTTGCCATCCCTAATAAAGACATTCAAGTTAAAGCAAAACTATAAAAACTAAAATATAGTATAATTATATAACAGATAGTTGAACTATACGTTATCTCTGGACAATTTAATTTATGTGTGGTGCTCTAAGTAAAATATTCTAGGTTCTCAAAAATTCTTTCTGAATTAAAAATTTTCTATAAAAAACTTATAAAAAATATCGTTCACGTGATTAGCCGGGTATCATCTAATATAGTTCGTATCAAAGACTGCAAACTGCAAAGGTATAAAATATATCGATATATATATATATCGTGTAACAACGGATTAAAAGTATATGCGACTGTACATTATAAGATGATAAACGTGCTTCATTCAGTCTATAAATATCAGAATGTAATTTCTTTATTTAACCGATACAATCGATTCTAATGGCAAATATTAATAAAATTTTCCCTAAATATATTTTGGTGGTTCCAATTATAGAATAATAGGAATTTTATACAATTTCCTTTAAATGCATTTTTTTATACTACGTAGAATTTTTTTTTTTTATAAATCTCGATAAGTTACACGTAGAGATACATATTCATCAAAATAGGATTCGAGATCATCAATTTGCTGATCTGATTAATTATTTTAAATTTTAAATTTAGAAATATAATATAAAAAAAAAAAAAAGAAGTTTCCAATAAAAGATACAGATCTTTTTAAAAATGAGATTTTTAATTTGCTAATAAGCTTTAATACAAAGATGAAGGTTTAATATATAAACATGTCTAATAATTATTATGCATTGCAACTACATTCAAACAGCACATTAAACACATTATTACCATCACAGCAACACGATAAGACAATTATGTAGAGTAAAAAACGAATAGAAGGCAATTTGCAATTACAAGGAATCAAAATCAGCTAATGATGCAGGCAATTTGCATCGAGTCGGCTATAAAGAATTAGTATTAATAAAAACAAAAAAGATTAATATTAATATTGATAGTAACAGAGTTTAAATAATGTGAATTTAAAAAACTTACTTGTGGAGCATTTTGTCTTGAAGATCGAGATTCATTTGCAAAAATAGAATATTGATATTTTTCCCAATCAAGAGAAAAAATATCTTCAGAGATTTTATATTCCACTTGTTTTGGAGTAGTTTGTGGTTCATCCAAATTAATTAGTAGAGATGAATCTTCAGTTGGACTGGTAATCATCCGTTCAGGAGTTTTAGGAGTGATAATATCATCAGAATGATCACTTGCACTATGTGGTTTAGTCATAGGTTAAAAGAATGGACAAACAATAAAAAAATAAAAGAATAAAATTAAACCAACCTATCATTCAAAGACAATTGTGAAATTTTTACGGTAATCTAAGTGAAAGATAAACAATAAATTAAAATTTTAAATAATAAGTATTTAAATCAACAAAAATGAAGATATTAAATTACCACTTTAGGCAATTCAGATTTGTTCGGATTAACAAATTTCTCATCCTAATAATAGGGTTAAATTAATTAATAATGCAAGAAAAAGTTATAAAAGTTCAAAAAACTTTAGATATATTACAGTTTTTTCTCTAGGATACATTTCATCTTCATCAATATTCTATATGAAATAAATAAAAGTTAGAATAAGAAATTAATTGTAAAACGGAATGCAGAACAAAAAAAAAATACCATTAGGTTTTCATTAGATGAATAATTCTAATATAAATATAAAATATTAAATAACAAAAAATTAATAATACAAAACAGAGAGTAAGTATGAAATAAATTCTACCTTCTCTTCATTGTAGGAATGTGGCGTGCAATTCTAATAAATAAAGTCAAAAACCAATAAACAAAAGACCAAAAAAATTTTAAATAATAATAATAATTGTAATAATTTTACACTATGTTGGCTAGTTTCATTAACGTGCCAAGTATTTCTACGCAGTTTTCTCTCCCAAGAGTTCTGCAAAGAGTTCTGCGAATAGTCCTGCGAATAACTCTGCGAATAACTTTGCGAATAACTCTGCGAATTATCACTGGTAGAACTAAGGGTTTTCTGTTGAAAAAAAAAATAAAGAATTTCAGACTTTAAAAATAAATTCGACAATAATGCAAATAGAGAAAATATAAAAAGATAATTATTACAGATTTCTCATTCAAGCCAAGGGCATAAGCGTTCCAAGACCTGAAAGGTTGTTGTTGCTGTTGCTTACGACCGCCACGCATTATGATAAGTGCTTACACGAAAAAAAATTTTTTTAAAAAAAGAAATTTTCTAATTTATAATTTTAAAATACGTATTATTTCAGTATTTATGCTGATCATATATTTATGGCTAAGCTAGTAATAACCGGTTTCAACATCTTACCATCAAAACTGGAAATAACAATATTAATAAGAAACATGCTCATATATTGATCAATAAAAAATATCATCTCAAAAAATTCTACGTAGATAAACGTGGCAGCTTAACACATGATTCACAGACTTTTTAGGTATAAGATGAGTAACACTATCGCTATCAGCTATTCATGTTGTAATGTTCTAATTTCATGGTACATACATGTTTATTTTAAAGGATTATTTATTGTCTCTATCAGCTATTATTAGTAAAATAACGATTACACATTTTTTCATAAAATCATAAAATACGTCTGTACATACTAAAAGTTAATAATGAATTGTACGTGAATATTATTATCACATGATTTTTATTAATATCTTTTCAAAGAATTTTTTCCGTTTGGTCACACAGAAAATTGTGCAAATAACAATATGTGCACAACGAATTTTTAACACTGGTCACACGGTAAATAAATAAAAATACGGTATGTATCTCAACCCAAATTTTTCAACAATCCAATAAAAATTAACAATTAATGTTTAAATAAGTATAGAAATAATGCATAAAAATCTATAATAGGAAAAGGATCAGTAAGATAATTGTTGAAGTTTTTTTTTTGGATCTTTATTAAACAATCTCAGAATTTACAGTACAAGATTTTAATTCAATTTAGCTGAATAAACATGTACGTACATACGTTTTGCGTACACTGCGTACGTATGTTCGTACAGTACCTTTTTCCTAACGCAGTAACGATGAACAGATAACACTTTCAGCTCTGATTCAATAGCAATATACTAGAAAGGAATATCAGATGTGTACAAATCGAAGGTACAGTACGTATGAATATCAATGATCGTGAATCCGAACTTTTGTCTTATTTTTGTTTGAGATCTTCGTTATGTGCAACATCATATTTTAAATTCTAACGCTAAAGAATATTGTAATATAAATAAATAAATTACGTAAAATTTAGCAATGAAAAAATCAATACTTTAATGACTTCCCGTTATATGACGAATCTTGTTATTTGGTGTTCATCTGTTTTCATTGGTGCTTTCAGAAGACGTATCGATTTATAATTCGATTATTGTAATCATGGACCTCGGGGCCCGTTCCATTTATTTCATTCAAGACTAAATTGGAAATTAATGGATCTCGGAAAAAAACATCGTTATATAATATCGAACATTAATATCGTTATATGTATTTTTTAGTGCGCAGCACGGATTTCGTTCATCAAACTTTTAAAGAATTGAATTAATTAAAAAATTATTGTCGCGGCTAAAGCTGGAAATTAGAGGTCTCGATTTAAAACTATAAACTCTGCTAAAATCCAGCTACCGGTATACTCTTTTATTATAAACCCTATCCCTAAATTCTAATCTAACTATTAAAAAAAATCGAACAAAATGCATATCAAAATTTTTGTAAATTTCATATTAAAGTATTAAAGTAAATGCAGATTGATCTCTTATTTCTTTTTCTTGAAAAAATGTTTGCTGTACAGGGTCGTTACATGTAATTTATTATGTTTCTCATCCTAATTTATTCTAACTTTATTGAGCTTCACTCTAAATTCTTTCCAAATTCTTCCTGGTTGATTACGACCTAACAATATCCCACTGTAAATTATACTTCTATTACTCCATTATTAATTTTACTCTGTTGATTATTTTAATTAATTTAATTATCTCTTTTATCACATTATCATTGCAAAAAAAATTTTCCAAAGAATTTCGTTTCCATACCTTTCTTAAACTTCGTAACCTTCGTAGTTCGATTAATTCCTTCAAATTCTTCTTCATTTAATGTATTCAATCCTTCATTTTCCTCGTGGTTATCATGTTCATTTGGTGTATCTTTTGAGTCTGTTTCTTTCTCTTGTTCCATAGTTAGCTGATCGTTATCCGTTAATAATTTCTTCAATATGATTGAACTGATTAAATCTAAAATGATTCCAACGATAAAGGATATAATAACTACTAGAAAAATAAACACGTAGTTCATTCTTTGAGCTTTAAGGTGGTTGTTTTAGAAATAATAAAGGTATCGGTATCACTAGATTACTCTTTAAATTTTTAAATGATCAACAAATACTATCTTGTTAAATTACCATAATTTCATCATACTATGATAGTTCTTTACTCCACCAATGTTGTTACAACTAATTGAATTTCATTTCGTCATTAATGATTAATCAGCTCCGTAATAATTAGAGTACGCTATCGTTATTTTTAAACTTATACTGTATTATAATTTAAACTAATACAAGCTCCTACATATTATATACTTGCTGTCATTTCAAAAAAGATAATACAGTATTTTTTTTTTTTTTACTATTAAATTCCTATATATTCTATTGACACGATTTAAAGCTTGTATTATTAATAAAATTAATATCGATACACTACTATTTAGGTCTCATCTTCAATACTATATATATATCTTAATATAGATTTAAATTGTAGTTTATATAATCTTAAAATAGGTTTAAATAAAATTAAATTTGTTTATTTGAATCCAAAATTAGGTTTAAATAATTTTAAAAAAAGTTTATTTAAATTATATAAAAAAGTATTT